CCTTGCCCATTACAGTGGTCGTGATTGTGACGCTTCCTCGCTTCGTTATGCGCAAGGGCCCTCCGTCAGCTGCGATACACTCGCTTTGGCAGTCCTCTGGGTTCTCGAGCATGCTCACATCGTTTACCAGGTGACGACTCGAGCCACTGTCCAGTATCCAATAGCCGTGGTTAGCGCTCGGGTTGCCCACTGCGAGCACAAAGTCCACGTCGACGCTTGCTTCTCTTGAGACCTTGTTCCCCGGGCACGCAGCTTTTATGTGTCCAGATTTCCCACAGCTGTAGCACTTGCGATTGTCCTTACGCCCGTTTCGTGTCTTTTCGCGCACATGTCGAACGTTGTTGACGACGTCCTTTCCAATGTGCTTTCCGCGCAGCTCGATCTCCGTCGACTGCGCGAAGTGAGCCAGCTCCTCCGCTTGGCGCAAGTAATCAATTCTTGTTAGATTCAAACGCGCCAGCATTGAAACTCTCATTGCCGGATCAGCGTAGTGGACTATGTTGTCTTGGACCAAGTTGTCTGCTCCACCGCATGCCTCGCTTACTGCGACCAAATACAAATAGTGTTCTGTCCAGCTGCGCTTGGGGCTCTTGGCAGCAGTAAATAGCTTCATACTTTGCGCTGGCGTTATCTTAGTTGCGAATGTATGAAGCAGCCTTTGCATGGCGTGTTCCAATGTTGGCTCTTCTTGCCACCACCCTTCAACTTGGCGATTATAGTACCGCTCAGCCATTCCCGTGAGATTGTGTCCAAGGACGTCTATCTTGACATCCTCACTCCACGGAAATCCGCTCGCACGCTCAGCAAAAGAGACTTCCCGTACAAACTTCTTCCCCCAGGATAGAAAACCGCTCCCTAGCCCCTGGTAAAGCTCTTTTCCATCGAAATGACGGATGTTCAGCTTGCGCTGTCTAGCGTCCGGCACTCTCGCATACGAAGGGACGTGCTGCGGTATCTGCGCCTGCTGGCACACTGGAGGTGGCACAAAGTGTCGTGGTAACCCCGGCTGCGGCGCCTGTGCCCTCTCGACGTTCTCAGCCGCCCTTGCATACCCCGGTTGGTTCATCCCGAAGTACGTCCCCGGCGACATATGTGGAGAAGGAGCCCTCGGCGGTGTCACATCGAGAGCACGCCGATTCATCGGTTGCCCCAGGCCTATTGCTGACCCGAACACACTGGACTCCTTGTCCATCGGCTGGTCCTTGGTCCCTTGTGACGCCTCTAGCTTAGCCATCCGCTCCGCTAGTCCCGTCAGTAGGTCCAACATCCTTTGCTCCGTGTTCCCTGGCACCGCCTCTGCCTTGACTTCTAAATTTTCGCCTTGTAGGCTGCTGGCCCTTTCGCGACCAGTCAGTGCCCTAGGTTGCGCGCCAGTTGCACCAGCGGCATCAGTATCACCGTTTGGGCTCATAACCTGTTAGAATAGGAAGATGCCAATGCAAAATGTAGAAGTGTTATTGTCGTTACCAAGTTTCTACCATGCTTCCATCTCTTCGACACCAACCATTTTCGCCCTGATTTTACTACACCATCCCAGGATAGAAACTGCCATTCAACTGAAGTGGTCGGCCGACTGCCACGTTTTTGCAGCGACTACTGCTTCTTCAATAGAAAGATGGTACCTTTTGCCACACCATCTATGATGACGTCATTCCTCGGTATCGTTGTCTGAGCTAGTACGGTTGCAGCGCTAAATTTGTTGAACGCGTGCACTATCCGCCACCCTTTTGTGGCCTTTCGCACACAGAAGGTTGGAGAGCTGTGTGGGGATGTTGATTCCCTCACATGACTAGCCTCTAAGCGATCGGCAAATAATTTGTCGATCGCTGTGACCTGTTCAGGAGGCAGTGGCCACTGCTTCATGACACAGTAATTCAAACCGGGTATTAGTTTATTCTCATGCCGAATGCCTTTATCCTTAGACAACTCGCATGGCACGGATTCAGGGATACATCCCTGAATCTAACCTAATCCCTATGCAAAGGATTTGTCGTTAAAGACTCCCAAGATTGAGACGTGTACTGTTTAATCCGGGTCTTTTCATCGAGGACACTCTCATCTATTGATGAGCTACAGAGAACCCGTTCGTTCTCAGCAAACACTTGTGTCGACCGAATATCAGCGACGTACTCGTCCTCTGTGACGAGCAAGCAGATTTGCTTGATCTTGTCACTCCGCAGATCTCGCAAGAATCTTTTAGATTCTAGCGTTGGCAAATTGATTATCTCCGAAGATGAATTTGGAGGTAAAACCAGATCAAGTGTATCAGCGCCTAAACTTGATCCGTCATTGACCAAGACATTCACTGTCTCGGTGATTTCTCGGGGGCACAGGTGCGCAGGAGGATCAGCACCCTCAACAAAACTTTCTCGGGGGTTATAACTTTTAGCAACGCCGGAACTTAATTCCAATACGTTCTATGATTGTGGGCGCACTACCATAATCATGTCCTCTTCGATCGAATCTCTTTCAGTCGATCGGACTTGCTCTACGATCGGCTCTCTGATTGTCGATCTCGCTTCAGCGTGTTGTTCATCCTGAACAACACTAACCTCTCTTCTCAGATGCACCTATCTTGGTGTGCATCTGTGTTTAAGTCCACCCGATCTCTTTGAGTGGTGAACCTTCGGCGCAACCTGTGTCTCTCCACAGGTGCCGGAAGCTGGTTCCACAGTGTAGTGGCCTTCTACACTGTGATCCTGAGCATTCGTACTAACGACCGTACCACAAGTGAGGCCATCGCACTCACTCGTAGTACATCCACACGCTTGTGGACGCTCCAAGACGTTAATCAGATGGCCATCTGATGAAAAAACGGCAGGAATCTTCACGGATCGATGCTGCCAGCTGAACCATGGCTTGTACTTTCTGAGCCATGGCAGACCGAGGATGACATCAAATTTGTCATCCAAATTTAGTACGATGAAGTCATCATCGTGCGGCTTTCCTCCTACCTTGTAGTGGATTCCGACTACACGTTTGTTCACTGTTACGGATGCGCCTGTAGCAAGGCACATCGTCATCCTCGTTGAAGGGAACGATCGCTCAACTTAGTTTAGTCTACTATCCTCTAGCGACTGGCCAATAAAATGTTCGACGCCCCACAGTCAACTGGGGCGCGAAGTGACATTCCACTTGTCGCTTCGATCTTCAAAGTGATGAGAGATTCCTCATCACTAAGGGCAGTAACACACAGAGACTGCGTGTTAGGAGCAATTTTCGTCAAGAGTCCTGCAAATTCTCTTGACGTTGTTGGATCTGCAGGGTGCTCCGCCCCTACTGACCCTGACCATTTTTGACGGTCCGACTTGCTGTTACAACTAAGCGACATGGTCTCTCCGCGCCTTGGACCTTTCCTCAGTCAACGGCGGTCATCACGTCCTATCTTTGAAAGCGATGCTGTGCTTAAGACACTACACTTATGAGCGTAGTGTCCAATCTTCTGAAAGCGATTCATCTTGACGATGGCTTGTGACTCAGAGAGCGAGAGTTCTCGCTCTCGATGTAATAGATGTCCATTGGTTCGGGACCTCCACTTTCCTGTCGTCTCGTCGAATGGTAGTTTGACGAGTTAGCCTGAGACTGTCTCAGGCTGAAGTCTTCTTGTTCCGCATACGCTATCGCTTTTTCCAGCGTATGGAAGTACTCTCGAACCATGTAGGTCTTGACCGGTCCATCCCCAAAACCGTAGATAAACACGTTGATGAGTGTGTGCTCGTTAACAGAGTTTTCCGTACCACTACTCGCAAGGTATCGTACACGTTGTGCGTAAGCGTGCACGTCACGCTTACCTTGCTTTAGCCTCAAGAGTGCAGAGCGTGCACTGTACTCGGCTCTTGGCGGCTCACGCGTCTCTTTGAGTCGAGCCTTTAAGGTCTCTAACGACTCGAACTTATTTGGGTCGTGAAGCTTGAGCCCAAAAGCCTAAGCTTTGCTCGTCCCGTCAAATTTGATAGAACGAAGGTGACTTGCATCTCGTCGCTTTCGATGTGACGGGCCCTGATGGCGTCGTCTAACTCGACGAACCATCTCAAAAGCGAATCTTTAGCAGTTCCCTTTTACCCTGAGATACCTATCTTCAAGATTTAGGGTCGACACGTGTGCGTCGGCCCGCCCATCGACTGATGAGAGACTTGCTGGTGAAGCAAGGCTATCTTCTGTCTTTCGACAGCAAGTTCCCCTTGTAGGAACTTGTTGATAGCTGGCATATTGTTAATCTCTGTTTATAGACTTTAACATGCATCTAATGGCTGGTTCGCTCATGAGCACACTCATGCGGTCGACTACCTCCCACTCTGAGTCACTTAGATGGAAGTAGCCTTTACGTGTGACTTTTAAGCTGTCATCTTCATGTTGGACGGACACTAAGTAGTCGTTGGACGGACTACGAAGTGCTACCAGGTGAAACGGGGCACCCTTTGTTTGGGGTGCCACGAAACTTCACGTACACTAGTACGTGCAGAGGAGGCTAATCTACTTAATTGTCTCGTTTGAGTAAAGGGTAAAAAGAGAACTGCATTTAGTTTAGTTAAGCTATCAATATAACTTTAGTCTTTATCTGACTATATTAATCTACATTGTCGTATGACGACAACCTGCTCACCACTCACTACGCGTGTCTAGCAGCGATTGGTGGTAGTTTTGGTTGATGTGTCTTTATCAACCGATCTTTGAGCAGCGCATGAATATTATCCGAAGGGATAGTATTGGTAGGATATTGTCATGCTAGGCAATATCCCTATTGACACCGTTTAGTGTCAATATCATGTAATGGGCTACCCCGTTTCACAAACCTCGTCCGAAAATTGGTTTTGGGTTAGTTCGAGCCAAAAACCCGATGAGTTCGCAAAACAAAATCGGGGGTCTTCACCCTTGCTCAGTGAACAGTCACACCTCAAGAGTGTCCACGTAAGTCAGAGACAGCAATTCACCTCGGAATCCACTACCCACCCATCAAGCGTCTTGGCTTCACTCCCAGCATCACCGAGAGTGCCAATAGAATGCCGGACAAAATCCCTGTTGGTCTTGTAGGCTTCGGCACGGGCTCCAGCGTCTTCCACGCGCCTTTGCTCCTGAGCTCGGGTCAGTTTCAGCTCACGCACGTGCTCGAGCGCTCAACATGCAAAAGCCGAGTGCTAACCCCCGCTCCTCAGATCGTTCGTTCGATGGACGAGTTGCTCGCTACCAACGTGCTGCTCGTGGTCATCTCCACGCCTACGACCGTGCACTTTGAGCAGGCCAAACAGGCAATGGAAGCAAAGCGCCACGTAGTCGTGGACAAACCGCTGTGTGTTACAGCTGAGCAAGCCCGAGAGCTCTGCTCGATTGCTGAGGCGAACAACGTGCTCTTCTCAGTCTTCCACAATCGCCGCTTCGATAGCGACTTCCTAACAGTAAAAAGCTTGATTGAAAATGACACATTAGGACAAGTGCACAAGTTTGAGGTCCATTACGACCGCTTCCGTCCAAACCTGAAGGGCTATTGGAAAGAAAAGGCTGGACTTTGTGGTGGTGTACTCTACGATCTAGGGTCGCACGTGACAGACCAGGCTCTGCAGCTCTTCGGCCAGCCTACTTCCGTCAAGGCTGACGTCCAGATCCAACGTGAAGGCGCTGAGACCGACGACTACTTTTGTCTTGAATTCACGTATGATAAGTTCCCCGAGCGAGAGGTGATCCTGAGTGCTGGGATGTTGGTCCAGGTCCCTAGTCCAAGGTATACTGTGGTCGGCACTAAGGGGACATTTGTGAAGTACGGTGAAGACGGGCAAGAGAACGCCCTTCGTGCGGGCAAGCGTCCCGGTGACGAGGGATGGGGTCAGGAGCACGAGAGCTCATTTGGCACGTTCACGGATGCAGCTACTGGTAAGATTCGTGTTATTCCCAGTAAGCTTGGCTGCTATGAGGTGTATTACAAGAACATTGCGGCAGCTATTCGAGGAGACGAGAAGCTTTTGGTAAACCCGAAAGAAGAGGTGATCGATCAAATTCGCGTCATTGAAGATGCGAAGAAGACTGAGCGCATAAACCGCATCGCAGTATAAGCTGACATTGGTGGAGGAATGCAATCTCTCACCGAAATCTACGAGATGAAATTTGCGAGATTGTAGGCGTTCTTATCTTTGGAATCTTCATGTGTTTAAGCTTTTCACGCGGGCTACGCATCGAATCTACAGCATTTTCGCGGTTGATGGCAGTTTTGTAGCTGTAGAAGCTCTTGCTCTGGTGGTTGTCGATCATGGATGCTTGTTTGAAAAATCGAATGCAGACTAATGCTGCAGATGCAAGTAATTGCTTTACCTTGACAAATATGCATCTGTTCATGTCCATTTCCATATCCAATGACACGATTTGTTCGCACTGCAGGCAAGAAAACGATTCTCACCTTTCATGTTCCAGTAGCGATGGGTGTCTGCTTTAACTTTCGACGTCGCTTTTACTGTATATCGAGTGGCGGCATTTTGATGACGCTGTTCTCACCAACAGAACCGAATCAGGACAATTTGACTTTTCCCAAGAGGCACTCCTCTACGTGTAAGACAACAATGATAATGCGGCTCTGTATTTGCATACACGTCCTTGCGCGCCTATGCGTGAGGTTATGGTTGTTGCTTTCTCAGCTAAACGAATGCAGCCATTTCATTAAATTTGAAAATACATTTTAACCGAGGCTGAGGGCTGTTCAACCGTGATCTTCTAGGCACATTCTGGTATTCGTTTACTTGTCGTGTCCATTATCTAGCAACTCACATCACAAGGTATAGCAGCGGTCAAGTGGAGTTGTTTTCGTCACGGCGTGCATGGGACAGTGCCATCTTGACTACAATCGATTAATTTGCTCGTAAACTTTACGAGAATGCATCCGAGAATGAGTAAACCGCACGTGTGTCTGCTGCATAGTCACCAGCTTTCAAGTTACTGAATACCGCCGCTCCTCGTGTTTGCTTAACTGAATCGCTCAACACCCGTTGCAGCTTGTTAATTTAGAGAAATGTATCAAACACTTGTGCCAGCCAATGTCACCATGCCGTCATTACATCGGCACACACGACTTGACGACTTGGACTAGATTACTCGCCGACAGCGATCATTCGTCCGCAAAGTAGCAGTTCTTGTCAGTCGTAGCGGGTGTGGTTTGAGCTTTTCAAGTACTAACAACTAGTACTTGGGAAAGCTCTCTGACTTAGATGAAGGCAAATCCATCGGTGGGGGGACATCGCAGCTGGTAACAATAGATGTCATGATAGTTACGCGACGAATAATGATCCTTCCCTGACTAGAAGTAGCTGGCGTCACTTGTTCTTGATGCAGGTGCAGCACCCATCCATACGTTGACTGCATTGCTGCTCATGCGGTTGATCTCGTCGTACGTCAACTTCAAAACGTCAGAGGCGTATTGCAGAACTGCTTCCATAAGACTGCCCAAACATGACGAAGACGCAAACAAATTGCAGAGTTCTGTATCACCCAGTACTAAGTCAATTTTGCCGACTACAGTGTGCGATCGGTCGCCACCATGAGGTTGCTAAAATCACAATGTAGCCACCCGCTCCAAGCGGCATACACGTTGCTTCAACTTTTTCACCCTGTCACTTTGTAGATACGACACATCGTCACGACGTTTGCATGTCAACCTAATATCGCGAGACAGTGCAAATGAGCACCCACGTTTGGCGTTTATGTGTGAACGTAATGATCGAGCAAGTTTCGAGCAAACCAGCCCACGCTCGATCCCGTATGACCCGAAATTGCTGTCGTCGCGGCGGAAGGACTGTTACTATTTGCGTTCAGCGCAAGTCGCCAGCAACCGTTTGACCCGCCTTTTTCTCACTGTGCCACACGTCTATCGGCATTACATTTGCGTGTCCGATGTGGCGGACACGGTCGCTTGACCCGCGCCTGCATCAGTGGCGTTTGTCCCACAGCTAAGCCAAAAGCCGCGCCTGTGACGTGATAAATCTGCGGCTTTCGCCGAAACAAAACCGTTTAGCAGGTGGCTCTAGTTTGTCTGGAAGTGATGCGAGCAGCCGTGCGTTGCGACAACAACGGTCGGCGTGAGAAGTCCGTAAGCTGCGAGTCGTCCCTGGCAGGTCGACTGACTTAAGCACGACATTACTGACTCTTCCTTGCCTCTTCACATTTGTGCTGGGTGTGCTCGAAGTGCGCTGCAAATAGTAGGCACGGACTAGTCGACAGATTTCAACACGCTCTGTTGTTACGACAGTTCGTCGCTAGTTTTGCACCTAATGAAGGCCGAGTGTGAGTCAAAGAGTGTACTTGTCATGAGCTGATCTGTTGCTATTGCCAGCGAACAATGAAACAGTTTCATCCCTGTACACGGCGGAGCAAAGAGACTGCGAATCAATGTCTGCGGAGCATCGCACGCGTCAGTTACTTCGTAGAACGGAACAAGACGCTGATCCATTTCACGCCCAAAGACTCATACGTGCTACTTTCTGTCTTTTGGCGACATGAAGACATTCGCTTCAGCAGCAGCATTCTGAAGGGCAGGTTCCCAATGCCTTCTAAGCGACAATTCCAGGACCTACCCATAGACTGAAGCTTGCATATCTTGAAGCTACACTATCCAACCCGCGTTTATTCACATCCACCCCAGACAAGAAGAGACCAAGTGAGTACACCTGCCCATACCCGTTGCCCCTACTTGTCGCGCACTTCAAGCATCGAGCGCTTCAAGAATCCAGAGCCACGAGATAAGTGCATGTCGCACTCCAGATTAGTCTGCCGGTAAAGATGGATGTGTTTTGGGGCGTGCAGCTCGCTACTTGCCAGTTACAGATGCTGCACACTGTAGTTGCAGCACACGGCATACCACTGGCATACTTGTAGTAGGATGCAGTGTCCTAGTACGAGCTGTGGCTGCTAGGGGATACGTTACCGTAGAGCTACGGTACAGATGAAGCAGGTTAGACTTATGCTCGCCACTCAGACAAGCAAACTTGCCGTGACAAGTCTGTCTAGGTTTGCGTGGCGCCCGATCAAATTCAACGAAGTAGGTGAAATGAGGTCTTGCTGGTAACTTGACGCGGTTTTGCTGGACGCAAGTTGCACTAGTCCGTCACTGCGAGGACAGCCGTGCAAACGTGACTGATTCATGCCACATGCGGTCAGACTTGGACGACAAACCTCAGTAAACAGGCTTTCGTTCAATAACGTGGATCACTGTTGCAAATCAGCCCCTACAAAAACGTGGATATGTGCAGTTCGACGTGGAACTAGTGCGGGCGCAGGAACTGTGCCAATGTCCTGCATTAGCCATTCGCCAACGGAACGTTACTTACACGGTGTTTCATGTTGAGCTACGGCGCGAGTAATGGATCAACAACTTGTCCAGTAGATCAAGTCGTGGTACGCCTCGCTCAGCGCCAAAGAAATTAATCGAACGCAACTCGCGGAGTAGTTACATGTTGCAAACATGGCTGCTCCATTTGCAACGACGTAGCCACAAGCAGTTTCAGTAATCATTTCTGACTGTCCGAGATCGCTCGAGCAACGTATCAGCGCTGTTTCTTGTTCCACCCCACCGAAGACCGGATAATGTCTCAGTGCGCTTTACACGCGTTGATGGCAAACATGGCGTGCAACACTGCCGGTCTTGTGGCGGTCGACTCGATCGGTACCAGGCAACGAGCACCTCTTGCAAGTCTTTTGTCATCATGACGACTGGCAGTAGTTCACCACACTCCACGAATCAGCAAAGCAGCGCTGAGCAGCAGTAATGACCCATCGTCGTCAACAGGACTGTTTTGACACCAAACATGTGTGGATTTTCCACTTCCGGCTTGCACTAGCAGACGTCTGCTAAAGCAAAGCTGGCAATCATATCCCTGTCGTCGAAACGCCGCTTCAAACGTCGCGGCTACAACGTGCCCTACTTTTTAACCGCCCACCAGATGCCGACGCGACACAACTACAACCAGGCGGTAGTCAATGCAGGCCCACTACCATCGTCCCTCTGGCGGCGAAGAAGGGTGCAGCAACTGGCACTATCCCCAGAGAGTCTCTGCACAGTCTCCTTTGTTGGACTATCGGCGGCATCTCGGCAGTGGCGTGCTAGCTTACAAAGGAGCAAGATCCTGCGCAGACGATATCTACCATGTCGTGCCATGCTATTCCACCACGGCGATTCCCATTTCGAGCCAAAGTTTCCACATTCAGTCCTTCTTCACTACGCAGTTACTAGAACTCACCCCTTTGTCGTTGACCAAATACACGAGCGTCAACAAAAAGGGACGATCCACGTCTGCTTTTCTTCGTCCCTTTACGGCTAGCACGGACGGCCAGAGCCGCATACCACGCCGGCTCTTTCCCCGATGCCTAGAAACAGCTGCCCGCTGGACTGAAACTCTCTCTTGCGGGCGCGGTTTCGCTCTTCCTTTCTTTCCCAATCAAACAACCAACCAACCAAACAAACGCTACAGCGAATCAAGCGGCTTCTCCTGCTCTTGGTGCGCCTTCTACACACACACACGGACAAACCCCCTCACCCAAGCCGCCCCCTCCTTTTTGCGACAACGTCACAACAACGGACCACCACGAAAGCACAAAAAACACCTAAAAAAACACACACGCACCCACCCACCCCGCGCCGGACGCAACTCCGCCCATCATTACATAATCTCTTTTGCCAGCGACGTGTAACGTGCTGCGCTGACACGAAAACAGCGAAACCAACAACCGAACGAACCCCGCCACAAGCGTCACGATACACCGCACAATGTCCATGGGCCTCCACTCTGCACGTGAGGAGCTCGGTCTGCCCAACGTTGCGAGCAGTCACGGCGTGGGGATCCATCCCACATCAGGGTACAATCTCCACACGGACGTCGGCCACCATCACCAGCAGCAGCAGCAGCAGCACCACCACCACCAACAGCAGCAGCAGCAGCACAATTCCAGTCTTTCCAAGCCCATGAGTCTCAGTCCCCGGACGTTCGGGATGGAAGATTTGCGGGACTTTTGCGGCCCCGTTGGAGGCGGCACGTTCAAAACGGGCTTGACGCCCCGTGTCTTCAGTACGGGCTTGACCCCTCGCTCGGGCTTTACGCCTCGCTTTGCCACTGGCTTCACGCCTCGGATCAACGTGACGGACCTCAGTCAAGCTTGCAGCAATGCCCCTTCTACAGGGACGGTGGCAGCTGCCACGAGTTTCATGAGTCGACCAAGTAGTACCGGTGCTGGGAGTGGAGGTGGGGGCTTCTCGCCCCGCACGGCTTCGGACGCTCCTCATGCTCACAGTAAGATCTCCCCGTCGGGCTTTACGCCCAAGGACGTGTCGGGTCTGTCCAAGGTCCCCATGCGCTTCCCCGGTGCCTTTTCGAGCTCGAGTTCTCCCAAGATGGCCATGGTTGACCAGTACAAGCAGGAACAACAACAACAGCAACCACAGCACTCGCATCTCTCTCATATTCAGAGAGGGTCGCTCTCACAGTCCCATCTCCAGCAGATGCAGCAGCTCCATCATCAGTCGCAGCAGATGAGCCACCACCCGGGACAAATGACACATCCGAGCATGGCAGCAATGAACATGAACATGTACGAGTACATGCACCGCCCGACGCTCCAGCAGCAGCAACATTCAGTGGACGCTCGATTGAGTGGAACCCCGTGCTCGGACCGAGCGTCTGATCAAGAGGACCTCGATGAACGTCGTCGGATGAAGAATCGCGAGCGCGTGCGCAAGTGCAGGAAGCGCAAACAGGACCGTCTCAACTTTCTTGAAGACCGTACGGCCGAGCTGGAGAAGGAAAATGGTCTATTGAAGGCCAAAGTGGCACGAAAAGCGTCCGGAGTGAAGGACCACGAGCCGTTGACGGACGTGCAGCTCGATGAGCTGCGCAAGAGCCAGACCACGACATTGTTGGCCTACATTCGTGCTTACAATGAAGCTGCTGAGGGAGCTACTTTCGACATGAGCGCGTGTAGTATTTGGACGGACAATGCCGAGATTCTGTACGGCAGTAGTGGGACAAGCGTGGCTGGTTTGGCAGGGATTGTCGCCTGCAAAAAGTCGAGCTCGAGTGTGTTTGCCAAGTACGAGATCAAGCAGTATATGGTGCAGTGGAAGCCAAACTCGACCGACAAGTGCCTTGTCAATTGGGATATCGAAGTGATCGTGAAGCAGGATGCCGCAAAGGACGTGCCTTTGACCGCACCTTTTGCAGCCCTCGCACCTCACTTTGGTGCCACTGGTGAGCTGCTGACATTCCAGATGACGTCGCACATAACTTTTGAGGATGTCAAGATCGTGGAGGAAATTCGTCAGCTGAATTTGTCCCGCATTAGCGAGAAGGCTTTGGAGCAGTTTGGAGACGATCCTAAGAAGGCTGCAGACGTGCTGCGGAGTCTGATGAATACTGCATGAGAACGAAACGAGCATGGCCAATTATCGGACGTACTGGTTGGCGAAGGTACTAGGAGGTAGGCAGCTCGTAGCTGAAAAGAGTGTCGTGCTCTCGTTGTTTTGAGTAGCAGTAGTGCATCGTGTATCATAAAGAACGTATTGGAAAACCACGATTGTCCTTTGTGCGCAAGCCGATACCGGGTACTTGTCCAGCCAAGTAGGAGGCCAGCCATCATCCTTTTGGCCCAGTATTTCCCACCGAAAGATCACGTCGCGGCGTCGTCCAAGACCGTTACTCCAATATTACGAACGATTACAACACAGCACAGCTTGGTGCTATCGACGACACGAAAAAGAGACTCGAATTGAGTTAATCTATTGACACGAAGATAGCGTGGTGCGCTTCCCAGACAACAACTTTTCTGACAGGTGGCTCTATGGAGAAGCAAACTTGACGTGTTGTAGTCTGTGGCGGAGTCTTTCGTTCCAAACGAGACATCAGTCACTGCGCAAACCTTCTTCTTCCCCCATGATCGACCCCACGTAGTGGAATCCAGTACCCCCTTCAAGCTCGTTTCAACACGTCTAGCCGCACAAAGACAACACAACAAAGAATGAGCACCACACGGTCGACTTGAGCACCCTAAACACGCGAAAAGTACCAGCAAAGACGCTTTTGAGCGTCTGGATGTTGTTGGCCTTGAGAATCTCTGGCGGCACATCGTTCATCTCGTTCAGCTCCTATTTCGACACAAGAAAGAGAGAGAAGGGCCCGCCACAGCAATCAGTTGACAGTCCCGCGACATTTGTACCATCATTGCACAGCGTGACACGCACTTGAATTTCCTTGAACGAGCCAATGTACTGGATCTTCTTGCCTTCCGAGTCCTGTAGAAACACCTGTGGATAGTTGGCACGAATGCCGCTGGCCTCAAAGTAGCGGTCCCGCGTCTCCCGGTTCTCCTCGAGACTGCAGTCTACTTCCGTATACGTAATCTTGTTCCCATCGAGCAGCTGCTTGAGGTGGCCAATTTCGTACTTTTGCTCGGTAATGGAGACCATGGAAGACGTGAGCACGACGCACGTCTGGATACAAATGTAGCCAAGTTAGTGACAATTTAGAGAAGCAGGTGATCGCAGCACGTTAATCGGACACACCTTGGCGGGACTCATGACGGTTGTTGCGAGTTATAGACTGGATCGCACACCAGAGCGTCCGAATGGGCTTTTTCCTGGGCTTTTCGCAGACTATTTCGGCTGGATCGGAGCCGTCCACGGCCGACGCGATTGGTGTGGTGCAAATACTCGCATATGTACGAACTGGTTTACCGAGTAGTGACGCACGTAGGTGTCGCAGGCCATGCGAACCGACTATATGTGTAAAAAACGCATTGTGGCACACATGTCGCAAGTGGCTGAATATGAGAAAGGTACTACTGTATCCGATCTGGAAAGAGGATTGGTTCACAACCTGCTTGATGGAGGGAGAGTGTGTGACGGAGTGCCTCCGTTATATATTGATTTGTATTGGGTAATTACCAATCATGAACATTTTGTTAGAATAGACGAACATTTTCACAATATTATCCTGATTGATTTTATCGCTTCGCAGATGTTATTCACTGCTCATTGGTTGATGTAGGACCACAAAGTCCACCAATAAAGTATTGATCCACGACAAAAGCTCGCAACGAGTGGTGGGTAGATAGTTACCACACATGTTTGCGTTTAGACATAGTTAAATGAAGTCAAATAGGAATTTATTAACAGGATTAACTATGCTAAATGCAGTTCTGCTTCTTACCTTTGTTGAGCACTCTTACTCCATTTAGCAATCTTCTTCTGCACGTAAGTGTACGTGATGTAGTTGGACGCACACACCCTTGCACTGTCAGCAGTGCAAGGTTCATCAAGTCAGTTGAATAAGGTGCGCCTTGTCACACCTCGTGGCACTTTGTAGTCCGTTCAGCGACCGTGGACATGTTGGATGATGAAGTGGAAGATTTCCATCCCACGCATGAAAGCTACTCCCATTTTAGTCAAATCGAATAGGATGCCGTCGAATGTTTGAGCTCGACTATAGGGCAAGAAGCCATTGGCGCAATGCTGTCCGCTCTGGATCCAGGCGGGCAACATGCTACCATCGCCAAATTCATTCAGAACGACCTTGACGCAGACCGGGAAAATGTGACCTCGCTGCACCAACAAGGTGCTCAACTGACAGAGCTGTTGAGAGAACAGAGTGCATAACAGTTCGAGTTGCTGGACAAAAGCAGGCTACTACTACCGGGTCGACAGACTAACGTAGATCCGAGCCACTGAAGATTGACATCTTTAAATACAAAAAAAGCAGATGAAGAAGATTCTATGCTGATATGGTTCATTGAGTTAGATGGCGCCATAAAGGCTTGCCACCTTGTCCATGAGTAAATGCTGCATTTGCTCAATCGAACTTGGCAGGGCGTGCAAATATGTGGGCCTTCGGCCTTAGCTTGCACGGCCCAAATGTCTTGGAGTCGTTGAAAGTCTTCAAGTCCTTTTTTAGGCAAATACTCAGGCCGCCGTCAGCTGAGTGCAGGGCTTGCTCTGAACTCCTAAAAAACAAACAAGGTAAACGTGACGTACACTCGTAAATCAGTAAATACGTCGTAAGATGACGTCTTACGAGTTGCACGACGTCAAATTCGCCAAATAAAATAACGATGATCAAGTTGTTCCTGCAGGGTCTCACTGATGGTCCCGTTATAGCCTACCTGTTCCAATCAGAGTTTGACACCCTGAAAGAGGCCCTAAGTGGTTGCGGAACAGAAGAACTTCAGCATGAAACAGGCTCACGAGAATTTGAGGTCTATCGTCTGTCGAGACGACAGGAAAGCGGAGGCTCAGAACCGATAGACCTCTGTCATGTGGAAAGCGAGAACTCTCGTGTTACCAATTTATAAAATGGCAAACATACAAAGATGTGAGAAGACAGGTCATTATGCATACGAATGCACTGCCTCGATCGCTGTCCCACGTAACGCAGGAAACAGTAACCACCAAAAGTCCAAGCGGGGTCCAAGGCGCGGGTCCGACGTTGTTGCGAAGACGCAACAACTTAACGGACAGCCAAAAAACGGTCGGGTCAGTAGGTGCGGTGGACCATACTGATTTATCACGTCAAGGAAGTTTGCAGACATCTTCACGAGAATTATACCTAACAATAAACATGGTGTACTACTGCATCTGGTAATGAGGTTTCCCTCATAATTGAAGCACGAAGTGACAATGAGCATTTCAATACAAGCTCTAGTCCATAGCGGGGCGTCAAACAAATTTGTACAAAGCCAATCGATAGACAATGACAATCTTAAAATGTGGCGAGTGAAAGATCCCTCTTTCGAGGATGACGGTACGCCTTTCCACAGGCGCATCCGCAACAGTGATGAAACGTGCAGTAAGGATTTCCTTGACACTGAGTGATTTCCGATACGACGATGACCCGTCGTATTGGACTCATCGTCTTGGACTTGGATGACAAATTTGATGTTATCCTTGGACTGCCGTGGCTCAGAAGTACAAGCTACAACATAGCTAGCATCAACGAAGTGTTGACATTCCCGCCGCTTGTTCACCAGATGAACATATCATGAACGCCCTGGAGCGCCCACTAACATGTGGGTGTACTACGAGCATGTGCGATGGCCTCGTGTGTGGTTCGTTCGTTAGTACGACTGCAAAAGATCGCAATATGACTAACCATCACGTTACGGAGAAAGTTCTCGGCAACTGAATAACAATACAGGAAGTACTTAAGGCCCACCTCTCGACTAAGTAGAATAGACCGGGGTATAGCCGTCTTCGTAGTGGACAAAAAGATCATGATCAACCGATTTAGAACGATCTTCATTACGAAGACGAAGCAAAAATCTAAAGGCTAGAGTTGAGGAAATCAGTCCCTAGCGTATATTGGAAACAAGTTCCTATGATCTAACAGAGACAATAAATGTCCTGGTTAACGACAGGACAAGCATAGGTAGTCATACACTTGATCTAATAGCAACTTTTAAGTTTACTTCGGAGGTGATTCAGTTACCCCCACTGAACAAAAAGATGTTCTTGCGTGATTTGCTAGTGAAAAAGTCAAGCAGATATGCGAACTCATCGCGGAGATTAGTGCATTAGTGATATCGAATTGGCAATGTTATTCGCTGCGGATGAAATATTTCTCAGTAGCGCATTAATGGACGAGAGTTTGTGAGACATGTTTTTACGACCTCGAGGTCCACCAACAGTGGTGCATCGTGTTTTACATACGTTTTAAGTAATCGCAGATACCCATGATTTGGTACGACGACACGAGGTGTGCCGCATTCAGAAGCCGAATATCGAGTTAAGCCGTTGCGAACTTTATATCTATTCGTAGAGGACCGATTAACTGACGACAACTGTTTGAGGCTCTTCCCGGATAGGTTCAAGAGATGATTCGTATTTCACATCATTCACGGATAATACGCCTTATGATTGTCTTCCAATAAAATGACGACATGATATGCGAAATCAGTACCGCAACAGTGATCGGGCCAGTGACTGGAGTCGCAGTTGGTTAATCATCAAGCCAACACGATATTGCATTTAGCGACAACGTTAAGTCGTCCTGAATTATACTCGGCGAAGAATTTGGATTTTGCACAAAATGATAGCCACCTCGCTAACCGCTGCGAGAGGTGTGGTTTAATAACGGCCGTGTGTAAAGACGCATGGTCCGTATTAACGATGAAGGGTCCATACCTGGCAGATAACTCTGAACTTAGCCAACGCCGTAATATGTTGCATAGAGTTCTTTGTCATGGATGGTGTAGTTGCGTTCACCCGGTTGCAGCTGACGAGAAGTTTAGCAAACGACACGCTCAGCACCGTCTGTGTCATACTGCGTTAGTGCACATTCGCTGAAAAAAACCTTCATCGCAGACCACATGAAATGGTCTGTCTTAGTATGCAATTGTCAAAACTGGCGATCGTATCAAGCTTTGATTGATACCTTCGAAAGGGCGCTGGCGATCGGCTCTCCATTTTCAATTCTCGTTCTTTTTCAGTAAGTAAGGCTGATAAACATTCATCTCGGCGTATGTGCGTGAGTATTTGGGCAAATTTGCCGCTAGACCAAGAAGCTTTCGAAGTCCTTTTACGTTGGTAGACACCAGCCAGTCATTTTTTGCCTTAAACTTTTCCGGGTTGGTACGGACGCCGTGCTTACCCACGATGCATCCATGAAGTGGTATTTCGCTAGCAGCAAATTTACAATTTTTTGGTTCGGCATCCAGATTATGCTCACGCATCAGTGTAAGAACTTTTTGGACGTAAGTCGGTGCACTTCCACATTCGTCTGTCCATCCACATCCCGACAATGGGCGAATGTAGTATTGAAGAAGCTGAGCGCGAATTCTCTTACATACATCAACAGATTTGTCACGCATTTGTTGAGCGGAACAGGGGCATTTACGTAATCCCTGTGGTAAAATTAGCCATTCCCAATGCATATCACTTGGGGTGCTTCCTGCTGTGTACGGGATGTCCCTGTCACGCGTGGGGATCTGATAGAACCCGTCCATCAAGGCCATCGATGAAAAGATGGAACTCTTTTCCATACCATCTATGAAGACGTCCTTCCTTGGTCTTGGAGTTTGAGTCGGTACAGTTGCAGCATTCAATTTGTTGAATGCACTTTCCGCCATCCTCCCGTAGCCTTTCGGACACAGAAGATCGGAGGGCTACGTGGGGAAGTATATTTTCAAACATATCCCATTGCCAAGCGATCTGCATATTCTCTTACATATCCTACTGCCAAGCGATTTGTTGATCGCTAGTACTTATTTACGAGGCAGTGGCCGCTGCTTTATGACAAAGTGCTTCGAAACCAATTTTAGTACAACTTTGGGCCGAGTACCTTTTTCCTCAGGTAGCTCGCACGGCGATTGCTTTGCTGGAAAATGACGTCCGTGGCGTAAATCGAGCGAGCACCGAAAAATGTGGAAAGTACGCCCGGATGTCACCAAAAAGCGCAAATTCTCTTTTAATGCACTATTCGACTCGTTCGTCATGTATTCGGATGGCAGCGACGCGTAAAAACTTCGTTATTGCTGGAATGAACGTAGATGTAGGCACGTTGAACACATGCACTGCTAAACCCCACA